AGCTGGCTCCAAACACCTTCCCAAAGAATAGAGATGAAATGCGGAGTGGCAATGCTTGTTTGTTATTTCTCCTTGATCAGTGATTGTGCTTCTACTGCATTCTCCTCTTGCATCTTAGGGGCCGAGCAGATAGAGTACAGCAGATAGAGTACTTGCCTTGCATTATCTGGATTTCATCTCCAGGACCACATATGATCCCCTGAGCCCTGCCTGCAGTGATCACTGACCATTGAGCCTAGAATAAGTCTCGAGCACTGCTGGGCATGGCCCCTACACCAAAAAAAAATTAAAAAATAAAAATAAAATTAAAAGAGTCTTCATTTGAAAATATTTTAAAAGGGGGCAGAGAGTGCTTGTTTGTTCATTGCAACACTCTTTACAATAACCAGAACCTGGAAAAAAACCTGAGAGCCCGAGAACAGATGACTGGTTAAAGAAACTTTGGTACATTTACACAATGGAGAACTATGTAGCTGTTAGAAAAGATGAAGTCATGAAATTTACATACAAGTGGTACTACATGGGAAGTATCATGTTAAACAAAATGAGTCAGAAAGAGAGGGACAGACATAGAAAGATTGCATTCATCTGGGGAACGTAAAGAACAAAATAGGAGACTAACGCCCAAGAGTGGCCGAGATTAGTACCAGGAGGTTTGCTCCATGGCTTGGAGGCCAGCCACACATGCTAGGGGAAAAGGGAGCTCAGTTAGAGCACCAAATAAAGGGTGTTGGGAGGATCCTCCCAGGATGGAAGAAGCATGCTCAAAGTAGACTGTAGACCAAACATGATTGCCACTCAATGCCTCTTTTGCAAACCACAACACCCAAAAGGAGAGAGAGAGAGAGAACAAAAGGGAATGCCCTGCCACAGAGGCAGGGTGGTGGGATGGGGGGAATGGGGGGTGGGAGGGATACTGGGACCCATGGTGGTGGAAAATGGGATCTGGTGGAGGGATGAGTATTCGATAATTGTATAATTGAAACCCAAGCCACAAAAATTTGTAAGTCTACAACTGTACCTCATGGTGTTTCACTAACAAAAATTTTTAATAAATAAATAAATAAGTTAATTGAAAGGGGCAGAGAAATAGGCCAGGAGAAATAGGATAGAGGGTAGAGCAGGGCATTTGCCTTGCACACGACCTATATGGGTTCAATCCCCGGCACTACAGATGGTTCTCTGAGTCACCAGGAGTGATCCTTGATCACAGAGCCAGGGGTAAGCCCTAAGCACTGCAGGGTGTGGTCCCAAAATAGCAAAACCCCTACAAAAATAAAATATAAAATTTTCATATTAAAATGAATTTTACGTATTAAAATATTTCAAAACAGAACGTGTCACATCACTATCTCATTGAAGATGTATCAATAACTTACACGGGATTTTTCTACATTGAAAGTAAGACTTGGAAAGATATTATATTCATGGAAAGTGAATGTATAGAGAGAAAGTTCCTAAGGTCAGCTCACCGACTTTCCCTCATCAGTTTTTCACTGAGACCTGTGAAAAAAGCTGAGCAATGGACACTGCATGTCAGATCCAAGAAACCTGCAGGGATGGTGAAGTAAACACCTAGTGCCATTCAAAACCCAGACCCATCCCTAGAGTACAAAGCCTGAGTCAACTCCAGGCCCTGGGCAAGTTGATTTACAGTGTAGAAATAACCCACATCTCTTTATCTTCTCTCATGTACCAGGTTGTGGTTTAGGTTCATACAATTTCTCTCTTCAAGGAGCTTGTTTTTTATGTTAGGTGTCTAGGCCTCAGAGAAAGTAAATTTCCAAAGGCCATATAGCCTGTGAAGGAAATCAGGATTGGAAAATTCTTGAACTGTATTATTTGTTCTGTAAAGTTAATAATTAGTTTATTTCTTATTTAATTGAATGCCTTGTAACTTCAGCCCTACCTCCATGACATACTTAAAAAGAATATATTAAAGAGTTTTCAGATCATCATTGTATACGATAAATTACAGTAGTAGACATCTTACAAACTTAAAAGATTCCCAAACATGGGCAAATAGGAACTTTCTTTCAAGGGACTTCATTTTTTTTCTTTAAATTAAAAAATAAAGTTTTCTCTGGGTTGAGGGGTTGGTTACACCCACACTGACCAGTGCTCAGGGATTCTTTCCGTACAGTTCTCAGGGAACAATATGCAATGCCAGGAATCCAACTGGGGCTGGCCACATGCAAGGCAAGTACCTTAATCCCGGTACTCTCTCTGGCTACTGCTTCTTTTAATGGCTTTCTTTTTTTTTTTTTTAATTGAACTAACATTTAGCTAAGTACATTATATAGCTTCCAGGCTAATAACATAGTACCTCGGCATTTGTATATATTACAAACCTCTCACTATCAATCTCTAATATTTATCCAACACTATACTCTCCCAATGTGCTTCCTTTACATTAAAAACCAAAGTATTTATTATCCATTTGTTATATGTGATAACATTTTATATGCCAAACATTTACAACAACCAGATTTTCAAATGAGATCATTATACTTGCACTGTTCAGTTCATGGGACAGCTATAACTATTCAGAAAAGTGAGTGTAGAGGTCAGGTGTCAGATATTACAATATTAAAGCAAACTGCATTATATACTAATAAAAAGTGCACTTAGAGACCCATTTCCTACTATTCATTAGGAATCTACAACTGAAGAAAGCAGCAAAAGGATGACCCTTAGAAAGAAATGAAACAAAGGGGAAAGAAAACGGAAGATGAAAGGAAATAGCTTATTTTCTACCTAGAACAAGGAGAGAAGGAAGCAGAGAGAAGAGCGGAGAAAGGAAGAAAGAAAGAAAAAGGAAAAAGACAAAGAGCTATGCAAAAACATAATGAATCATTGGGGGGCCGGCAGTTCTTTCAAGAAAAAGCTAGCCATGATCAGCTTCTCCAGTTTGAGGCTGGACACAACTGTTTAGAGAAAAACTAGCATGCTCCCCTCCATTAATCTTTTCTAAAGAAATACTTTGTTCTGCACCTGTATAAACAACTCAGATTTTTAAAACCTATATGCCTGCCCTACAGTGTGAGACCACGTATTTATACTGATAGCTTCAAGTAATCAATCGGCGATGTTCAAAGCTAACCTTAGATCTCCCTTTACAGTTTCTCCCTCACCCCGCTCATTTTGCTTCCCTCCTTCACCTGGCGGGCAAGAGTCAAGTTCAAGTTCCACCCCTTCAGAAATCTACCTTTCTCTGGTGTCTTCCAAACCCAGAGAGAACTGAGAGTGAACAATCTCTGAGCTCAACTGATCTCTGAAGGAGCCCATGAGAGCACCGCACCCCCTAGCAAAATGATGAAAACCGCAGACAGACAATCCCTGCACATGGGGGCAAGCAGGAGAGGTTTGGGAATCATGCCCCACCAGAGGAAGGCATGTTCTGGAGGGATGAAGGTGGACCCGTGCCTAAGTGATGAAGTCACGGGAACCAGCCACCTGTTGTAGCACTTCAGGCGCGCAGCAGCAGGAGCCATGGCTGGCCCGGAGGCTCACTGCACATCTGCGCTTTGCACTTTGCTCAGTCAGCTAGGGAGCTCCTGCGCTTTTAGGGGGAGAAGAAGTAAACACCTAACACGAAAGGCAACACTCAGTTTCCTTGTTTGGAGCAGAGTAACCAGAGACCCACCTCGGAGACAGCGGTGGGTTATTTTGTTGTTTTCAATTTCTTGGCGGACTAGGGATGCTGCAGATGAGGAACTGTGGGGCATTAAGGACTCAGAAACAAGGACTCTCCCAGGAGCGAGTGTTGCAAAGTTAGGAAAGAAGATTACAGTTTTGTTGCTTTTTGTAGGAAGAGGCAGGGTGTTTTGTTTTCCTTTGGCCTGGGAATCAATCCCACTAAGATTCTGGGAGATTTTTCTTTTAATCAAGTTTTGTTGTTGTTGTTTTTCTTCCTCACATTGCATCATTTTCTGATTTAGTCTTCTGCATCCCGGAGTGCATTTTCCAACATGCAATGCCAACATTAAAAATCGTTCCTGTAACTCAAGAGTATTGGGTCCTTATTTTCTCTATCTCGTGCATTGTGAAATGAAAAAAAAAAAATCAGGCACGGAATCCTCAAGTCTGTGGAAAGTACCAGATTCAACATCCTGTGGTGTGTGGTCCAGAGGCGTGTAGCCAGAGTAAGATTCTCAGCACAGATTTGAGTCTTTATCCTACATACCAGTCTAGCGACCCTGCGCCCTTTTAGTATCTCTCTCTTGCGGCTTCCAATTCTGCAAATTGGAGGCTCAAAAAGTCATTACATGTTGTGGAAGGGTGAATCAAGCTGATGCAGATAAAGGTGGGTTTTTCATCATAAGCCAATGAGTAAGGGTGAGGAGGAGGACGAAAGAGTTTTGTTTTGTTTTTTAATGGGGGGGGGGGGGTTCTGTGCTTTGCTAGTTCTCAGCAGTCCGCAGTCCTCGCTTAGACATTCATACTTGATGAATGACAGGGTTGCGGGTGGGCGGAAGATTCTGCCTAAATGACTGGGACAGAAACCAAGCCCGTCATCTCGGGGCTTCTAAGTGTCTGGCGCCTTGGCCAAGGCTAAGATTAGCGGGAGGTGAGTGGGGACACCACCACCCGTCCTCCGACGGCTTAGCGAGAAAAGGAAAGAAAAAAAAAGTTAGGTGCGTGGGTCGACGGGGTCCAAAGTTCGGCTAGCGGGCAGAAACTTCCCTTCGCCCTCCCCTATCAGCGGTCCCCACCCCTTCCACGCCCCCGCCCCACCTCTTGCCCCCCCTTTCAGCCCCCTTAGTCTTTGCCCCGGGTGGCTTGCTCCGAGGAGGACAGATAAATAGTCGCTGTCCAAAGGCGCACGCAGCTCGCGGGGGCTCGTGCTGAGGCCGGGCTGGGGGCTCGCTCGCCGCGCGCCTCCTTCTCCGAGCCCCGACACCCAGGTGGCCCGTGTCCCCCGGGGGTGGGGGGGACTCCGCGTGGCCCCCGGCCTCGGCGCGGGGCGCGGAAAGGCGGAGGCGGGAAGGGGAGGCACGATGTCCACGGGCTCGGTGAGCGACCCCGACGAGATGGAGCCGCGGGGGCTGCCGCGAGGCTACCCGCCCCCCGCCTCCCAGCGGCCGCCCCCGCGCGGCTACGCATCGCCCAGCGACAACTCGTCGGCGGAGGAGGAGGACCCCGACGGCGAGGACGAGCGGCGGGGCGCGCTGGGCGCGGCCGGCGGCGGCCCGGGCCGCGGCGGGAGGAAACGGGCGCGCGCGGCGGGGGGCGGCGGCGGCGGCAAGAAACCCCTCCCGGTCCGGGGCGCCCCCGCCGAGGGCAGGCAGTCGCAGCGCAACGCAGCCAACGCCCGCGAGCGCGCCCGCATGCGGGTGCTCAGCAAAGCCTTCTCCCGCCTCAAGACCAGCCTGCCCTGGGTGCCCCCGGACACCAAGCTCTCCAAGCTGGACACGCTGCGCCTGGCGTCCAGCTACATCGCGCACCTGCGCCAGCTGCTGCAGGAGGATCGCTACGAGAACGGCTACGTGCACCCGGTGAACCTGGTAGGGGCGAGCGCGGGGGCTGGGCCGGGGGGATGGAGGACGGGCGGTCCCCCCTCCCGGAGGCTGTGGGTTTCTGGTACCGAGTGGGAGAGGTGCGGATCCTGGTAACTCCTTCTCCTTGGCCCCCGTTAACCGGACGGGCCAGCCGTTTTGCCGGGGAACTGTCCCCCCTTGGGCGTTTGCCTCATCCTGCTGACTGCTGAGCCCAGTGATAGCTGCTGGCCGGTGTCCTACTTCCGGGGTGAGTCGGGTTTCCAGCAGAGCCGCCACCCGGTTGCAAATTGAATTAAAAAAAATCTCGCCCTACTTAGGAGTCCCAACTCTTTTCCCAGTTAGGACTCCCAACAGGTTTGATTTAGGCAAGTTCAGCTGGGTGCAGAGGCGGCGGCAAGGCCGGGCTCTGCTTTGGGCTGGGGTGGGGGTGGAGGGGGAGGGAGGAGGAAACTTGGGGATTGTCGGAGGTGTCTCTGAATGGAGCTTGTCTGGAAAGCCCCTCTCCAATCTGCCAACTCTGCCTAATTGGGAAAAATCCTATCCAAAATGCTTAGAGGCCTTTAGGTTTTACTTGTATCAGAGGTCTGGGTGTTTGTTGTGTCTCTGTACGCCCGCTGGCGCGCGTGCCTGCACGTGCTGGGAAGTGGGAATTAAATGAGACAAACCCCTAACTGATGCAGAGTGCACCCAATTGGGGGGTGAGGTCACACTCCAGAAGAAGGTATTGAGGAACACCTCACTTACCAGGTGATCGGCGAGCAGTAACATTTAAGTCCTAGTTTTCGAGAGAAGCCACGCAAATTCCCAGGACACTGTCCTAAAATCTGAGCGACCGCAACTCATTTTTGTTCCCCGGAGGAGAGCGGTTTTGGTTTGAGCCGGTGGTCTGTGTCTCCTTCCTGATCGGACTTTCTTCCCTTACAGACTTGGCCCTTCGTGGTCTCCGGGAGACCCGACTCCGACAGCAAAGATGTTTCGGCGGCAGCCAATAGACTTTGTGGGACCACGGCATAGCTCGAACTCCCCGGCGCTTGATGGGATTATTGGTTAAAAGGTGTGTTTGGGCCGGACGTGTACTTGGGGACCGTGGAGTGAAGGGGGAGAGGACGAGAACCCCAGAATGAAAGGCGCTTCTCCGTGGATTCGTCTAGATCCTCCTGCCCACTCTGAAACTGTGGACTCAGCAGGTGATAGATGGGGGGGATAGCAGAGCCCGGGCACAGTCGCTCTCTCGGCGCCCACCCCGAAGGCTGCAGCGATTCGCGACCACTTCCCACTTGATCGCTCGGCAGGGAGCCCCCCTTTCTTCTCCACAGCTCGAACCCAGACGACACCAGGGACTTGACCGGGGCAGACTCCCCGCCCCGCACACGTGCTACTGTGGGAACCCCGCAGGCGCGCGCCAAGATGCAAGCGGGAAGCAGGAATCTGTGCGCTTCGGCGGGGTTCTCACACACCCCTCCCCTTTCGGGCAAGGCTTCAATCGTGGAAGGCTGCACGGAGGGTGCGTTTTTTAAGTCCTCAAGGAGCGGTGACTTGTGTGGGGCAGCTTTGAGACCTGACTTTGCCCAGCACGCGAGATGATGCCGGCTCTGAGCGGAGCAAGGCGGAGAAAGCACGCTTTCAAGCCCCCCCTTTCCCTCCAAGCCCCAGACTGGGTTTGCATTCTGGTTCTGGGTGGTTCCCCTTCCTGCTGCCCTCCAGCTGCTTACACACACGCCTCTGGCTGGGGCCCAGATCCTATTGATGTTTCTTCTCACCCTTTTTAAGGCATTGAGTCTCACCCCACATTGCTAGGGCTCCCTCTAAAGCTGGGTGTTTTCATGTGCTCACCTCTTTCCCTACTTTCTCTTCTCCTACTATTTTTTGGGGGGCTGGATGAGTAGGCTACACCCAGCGATGCTCAGGGTTACCCCTGGCTCTGCACTCAGGAATTGCCCCTGGCCGTGCTTGGGGGACTGCAAAGATGCTGGGATCTAACCCAGGGGCTATGTGCAAGGACAGCGCCCCAGGCCACTAATGGAGTGTGCCACTCCTCTCCTTGCTGACACCAGCCATTCCCACCTCTCCCCATCCAGTTTGCCCCTACACTCTCTACAAAGTCCCTCTTCTGGATACAGCCTCCCCTACCACTACCACCACCCCAGCCCACCCCAGCCACTAAATCGCACGGGACCCCTTAGGCTGTAGATTTCTAGCGGTCAAGTTGAGAGAATGAGTGGCTGCCCTACAGCAGGCAGTAATTAGCAAATGTAAATAAGTTTATTTTTTTATGGACAATAAAATACAGTTTGGAAATCAGACGCCCCCTGTCGGGTCAGAATGTGGTCTTTGTTGCCTGGATTGAGGTGGGTCTGGAGGGGGCACTTAAAGATGCCCTTCCCTGAAGAAAGACTCCTGTGGAACCCTGGCCAAATGTGACTTTGATTCTCTACATCCAGGATTCTAGTACTGAATAGCAAGAATTATGAGATTGGACCCTTAAGAGTCTTCGCAAGGAGCTGGAGTGATAGCACAGCGGGTAGGGCTTTTGCCTTGCATGATGCTGACCTGGGTTTGATTCTGGGCAGAGCCAGGAGGAACCCCTGTGCATTGCTGGTGTGACTCAAAAAGAAATCCTCACAGGCTAGGGCCACATTGAGAGACCCTATTTTACACTGCAAAGTGATAATACAGTATGTTTACTCATGCTCTCTCACACACACGCACGCACACACTTGAGTACTTGTATGTAGTTTGAGAATATACAGCTCACAGTTTTCCCACAAGTGTCAAGTGTGACCAAATAAAAGTATAATACCACAGCTCACCCTATTTCAGTGGGAACTTCATTTTATTCGAATCATATTAATGCCAAGTTTTCAGATAGTCCTTGTTTTTATTTTGTGTTTGTGTGAGTGTTTTCTACACTCATTGCACTGTTTGCAAAGACATTGTAACTTGGGAAGCTGATCATAGGATTTCTGAAATGCTGGTTTCGTTTATTTAAAAATTTTTTAAAAGTAATAATACATCCTTTGGGCTGGAGAGAGAGCACAGTGGGTAGGGCGTTTGCCTTGCACACAGCCAACCCGGGTTCGATTACCAGCATTTCATATGGTCCCCTGAGCACGCACCGTCAGGAGTAACTCCTGAGTGCAGAGCCAGGAGTAACCCCTGTGCATCGCTGGGTGTGACCCAAAAAGCAAAAAAAAAAAAAAAAAAAAAATACATCCTTTTAGTAGAAAATTTAGAGAAGTCTGTAGGAGAAAAGACCCAAACAGCTGCCCCATTTGACGTGTGCTCATTATATTTAGGAACTTGAAAGGCAGTTCCTTTCCTTGGTCAGAGAAAATTGAGTTGGGGGGAGGGAGGAGAGCTACAACAGAATTTCTCCTTCCCAGGAGACTCAGCCCAGCTCTGGAATACAGACTGCTGAGATCCTTTTCTTGGGTTGGTTTGTAAGTTTCCAGAGAACTGGTCTTTCAGATGAGTCTGCAGGACAGCCTGCCCACTCGCCAGCTTTCTATTAGCTGGTTTCTGCAGAAATTGGGACTTTCTGGTAAAGGAAATATTGGGGTGGCAAGTACTGGAACTCTTGTGGTTCCACTTACCAGGCCTTCAGCTCTGGGCTGATGGCTTTTTGGGGCACAGTGGATCCCTAGGGGCCAGCTCTTGTCAAAGACATTCCCAAAGTTTCCAGCTAATGAGTTTCTCTTCAAACTAAGAAGATAGCAAACTGCAGTTGGTCTTGCGTTCCATCTTTAAGCCCATAGACTGGGCCTGGATACCTAAGCCTCAGTTTCCTGGTCTACAAAAGGGGTTCATGGTGCCTTGCTGGGAAGTCTACCCTCTGACAGGATGGTGATAAACATCTTGAAGCTTCACTTCTAATGGACAGTGACCCATTCCCTAAATACTGTCAAATTAAGGAAGTGGGAGGAGGCATTCTTTAGCAAAGGGAACACTTTGAACAGGGAATCCAGTCTTAAGATTAGGCCTGATTTTAAGATACCTGTATTAGAACTGTACAATGGAAATGACCTCCTAATGTAGTAAGAGGAAAATAAAGAACAAGCATTTGAACAAACAAGGAAATACGAACAACGTTTTTGTGAATAAAAGAGAAATGCATTTTTTAAAAAAAAAAAACAACTAACGCAGTTAGGGTCCTGTCAAGGTAAACCCCTGCTCTGCCTCACCCCACTGCTTTGAGGGATGCAGTTACTGACTCTTGGGCAGAGTCCTGAGTATGGGGGCTCAGTTTTTAAACATCACTGTGGAGTGGAGTCCTAAAATTATAGAGAAGGAATCAGTCCCAAGACTTGACTCTGTCATTTCTCTTTAAAACGTCTAATCCCAACAATCATGTTTTTCTGTTTTCTTGCCTTTTTTTTTAAGTAGGAGAAAGATGCCCATTTCTGGTGTGTTTATGTGAAAATGTATGAATGGTTCAAGCTTCAGGGCAAGGGTTTACTGTTGGGAGACAGTCTCAGAGACAGGAAGCCAGTTTTTTCTTCCTCTGCCCTCACACATGGGCTGGAGCCATAGCACAGCGGGTAGGGCGTTTGCCTTGCACGCTGCCGACCCGGGTTCGATTCCTTCTTCCCTTTCAGAGAACCTGGTAAACTAAGAATATGCCCGTGGCATACTTAATATGCCAAAAACAGTACTAACAAGTCTCAAAATGGAGACGTTACTGGTGCCGCTCGAGCAAATCGATGAACAACTGGAGGACAGTGTTACCAGTGCCCTCACACATGCTCCAAGTGATGGGAGGCCACTCCAGATTAATTAATTATTTTTATTAGTGAGACACCATGACGTGTAATTGTAGACTTACAATTTTTTTGTGCTTGGGTTTCAATTATACAATGATCAAATGCCCATCCCTCCACCAGTGCCCATATCCCACCACCACGGATCCCAGTATCCCTCCCACCCCCATTCCCTAGACCAAATTCTTATTTTATTTCCCCCCCTCCCCTTCATTTTTATTTAGGTATTTTGGTTGGAAAAATAGAAGCGTGGAGAATGGAGGAGGTTGGAAAAAGAGATAAAGAGAAATAAGTCTGTAGGGTTAGTCATTTCAAATTTGATTATATGCTGTGACAGATATGTAGGAGGCAGGGGGAGGGAGAACCTAAGAAATAGGGTGTAAAGTAGCAAATAACACTTAAAATGAGTAGCTTGAAAAACTTTCAGGGGGCTTTCTGAGGTACTAAGGCATTATTATTACTGTTACTGACTCAATATACAAGAACAAAAAATCCCCTTTCACTGAGTTCCAAGATGAATTATTTTGAAAGAATTGCTTTGGCCCCTGTAATTCTGAAACATCTAGGCCTTACTCTTGGTTGTGATACTGAGTTGATTTTTTGCATCATCTTTTCATAATGCCTCTTGTCCCAACGTCACTTTAGTCTGAGGGCTCCTTCAGCAGCAGTAAACTCTGACCATGAAAGTTTACAGTAGAGGATTTTAGCAAGCTCATGCACCGTTTCCTTTCCAACTGATAAATGCTTCATAATTTTTTTTCAAAAATAGTAAATATACATTTCCTCTTCATAAAAAGCACAACAAACTAATCAAACATCTTGTTTTACTTTATTATTGGGGAAGAGAGGTATACCTGGCACATCCAAGGGGTTACTCCTGGCCCTAGGCTCAGAAGTAAACATCCCAGTGGAGGGTGGGCAAGTCATACACTGCTGGGATAAAAAAGGGCCTCTGCATGCATGGATGTAAGGGTGATTATATTAATTTACATTAATCGAAAGACATCACACACACATACATACACACACACACACACACACACACACACACACACACACACAAACAGAAAGCAGGTATAAGGTTCCATTTGTTAGGACCAGAGTGTAAATCCAGGTAGGATGCTGTTTTACATGCAGCTGACCCCGGTTTGATCCTTGTTATCCTATATGGTCCCCCATTACCAGAAGTGGTTTCTCAGTATAGAGTCAGGAGTAAGCCCTGAGCATTGTCAGGTGTGCTTCCCCCTCTTTACCAAAAGGACTCCATTTGTCTTAAGTGAAACCAGATATTAAGGAGAGTTGCATACATA